TTGTGTAGGAGGTAGGTTACTGAAAGCAGTGAAGAGTTTTTACGAGGATAGTGAGACTCTAGTTAGAGTATGTAGGAAAGAGGGAGATTATTTCCCAGTAAAAGTAGGCCTTAGACAAGGATGTGTGATGTCACCGTGGTTGTAAGGGTTGTAAAGAGGTGACAAGAGGTGACAAGAGGTAGGAGGTTAAAGGATAAAGAATCTAACACAAAGTGGGAGTTGACACAATTGCTCTTTGCTGATGATACTGTGTTTTGGGGGGATTCTGAAGAGAAGTTGCAGAGGTTGGTTGATGAGTTTGGTAGAGTATGTAAAAGAAAGAAGTTAAAAGTGAATATAGGAAAGAGTAAGGTGATGAGGATAACAGAAAAATTAGGTAACGAAAGACTGGATCTCAGATGTGAAAAACACCCGGCCCGGGTGTTTTCCAGATGGTGACCCGGCGAGATTGGAGGGATATAGTATGGAGGAGGTGAATGTGTTCAGATATTTAGGAGTGGACGTGTTAGCAGATGGGTCTATGAAAAATAAGGTAAATCATAAAAATGATGAGGGAGGAAAAGGTGTGTGTTGCACTTAGGAGTCGGTGGAGACAAAGAACCTTGTCCACGGAAGCAAAGAGGGGAATGTATGAAAGTATAGCTATACCAACGCTCTTATATGGGTGTGAAGCATGGGTAGTGAATGTTGCAACAAGAAGAATGCTGGAGGCAGTGGAGATGTCGTGTCTGAGGACAATGTGTAGTGTGAATATAATGCAGAGAATTCGTAGTTTGGAAATTAGGAGGAGGTGCGGCGGGATTACCAAAACTATTATCCATAGGGCTGAGGAGAGGTTGTTGAGGCGGTTCGGGCATGTAGAGAGGAAGAAACATAAATAGAATGACTTCGAGAGTGTATGTGTAGAGGAGGGAAGGCGGGGTAGGGGGTGGCCTAGGAAAGGTTGGAGGTAGGAGGTAAAGGGGGTTTGGTGGGAGTGGGGCTTGGACTTCCAGCAAGCATGCTTGAGCATGTTAGATAGGAGGGAATGGAGACTAACGGTTTTTAGGACTTGACGTGCAGTTGGAGTGTGAGCAAATTAACATTTATGAAGGGATTCAAGGAAACCGGCAGGCCGGACTTGAGTCCTGGAAATGGGAAGTACAGTGCATGTGCTCTGAAGGAGGAGTGTTAATGTTGCAGTTTTATAACTGTAGTGTAAGTGCGCTTTGGCAAGACAGTGATGGAGTGAATGATGGTGAAAGTTTTTCTGTTTCGGGCCACCCTGCCTTGGTGGCCACCCTGCCTTGGTGGCCACCCTGCCTTAGTGGCCACCCTGCCTTGGTGGCCACCCTGCCTTGGTGGCCACCCTGCCTTGGTGGCCACCCTGCCTTGGTGGCCACCCTGCCTTGGTGGCCACCCTGCCTTGGTGGCCACCCTGCCTTGGTGGCCACCCTGCCTTGGTGGCCACCCTGCCTTGGTGGCCACCCTGCCTTGGTGGCCACCCTGCCTTGGTGGCCACCCTGCCTTGGTGGAAGACGGCCTGTGTTAATAATATAATAAAATTTACACACACACACACACACACACACACACACACACACACACACACACACACATACACACACACACACACACACACACACACACACACACACACACACACACACACACACACACACACACACATATATATATATATATATATATATATATATATATATATATATCCTGAAGGAGATTTAGGATCCGCGTTCAATGCGTTTAAGGACCTCTTACCTTTGTTATGTTGTCCCTTGATTGATGCTGACGCAGCTCGCTCTCTCTCTCTCTCTCTCTCTCTCTCCCCTCCCAAGGGGAGGTGGATGACTGACAGGTGTCAACGACTGCACTCTCTTGATGCTTTCCTTCACCATCTTTCTTTCACCCCTTTTACCATTTTCTTCCTCTTCTCCCTACCCTTCTTATCCTCTTCCTTCTCTCCCTTACCCTTCTCATCTTCATTTTCACCTTCTCTGTCTCTTTCTATCTTCCACCCACATATTTCTTCCCTTTCACTACATTTCGCCCCTTCTCCTTTATTATTATTTTTATTGTTACTGTTATTATTATTATTATTATTATTATTATTATTATTATTATTATTATTATTATTATTATTATTATTATTATTATTATTATTCACCCAGAGAATAATAGGTTGATCTACATACGATTTCTTAAATATTATTCTGGAGCTCCGTTTCGCTCGCCAGAAGCTCAGAAGGGTCGAAATGTGTCCCATTTCTATTTTCTTCACTATTTTCATCCTCATTTCCCATTTCTCTCCCTTCGTCACCATCCATCCCATTAATTCTCATCTACAGTCCCCATTTTCCTCTCATTTCTACCGTCTTTTACGTTAATTGTCGTCCCTGTATTTCATTTTCATCCCATTTTTCCCATTCTTTCCTTACATCTCCCATTTTCCCCATTCTTTCCTTATATCTCCCATTTTTCCCACTCCTTCCATCTCCATTTTTTCCCCTCTCCTCCCTACTTGCCTTAATCCTCCTGACGTTCCTGGAGGAGTGGTTGCTGACGGAGACGCTGACGGTGACCTCCTCTCCCCTCTCGTAGACAGCCTTGTCCAGGGTGGCCTCCAGTTCCACCTGCCCCTCCGCCAGCAGCAGCTGCTTGGAGGCAGCTGCGTAGGGCAGGGCACGCTCCTCCCCAGTGCACAGCTGGTACAACTTCACTCCCATCCTGATGGAAGATCTTTTGTGTGGCTTGTCTTCTGCAGTCTCTCCTGCAGGAGAGATAGATAGAGGGGAGATGGTTGGCTTTGTTGACAGTGGAGGAGAGGTTGATCTGAGAGTTGTATATAGGTATTTTAGATTGCCAGAGAGCTTGGATTGGGTGTTAGATTAGGTTGGTTTGGTTGGCGTTAGGTTAGATTAGGTTAGGCTCTGACAGCCTAGAGTAGGTTATGTTAGGTTAGATTAGGTTGTGATAGCCTTGGGTAGGTTAGGTTTGGTTAGGTTAGGTTGTGACAACCTAGAGTAGATTAGGTTATGACAACCTAGAGTAGGTTAGGTTAGGTTGTGACAGCTTAGGGTAGGTTAAGTTAGGTTAGGTTAGGTTAAATTAGGTTGTGACAGCTTAGAGTAGGTTAAGTTAGGTTAGGTTAGGCTGGAACAGTACACAACCATCCTTCAATACCGTTTTAGAAACACTACACAATTAACCCACAATACCAAGGCTGGAACAATACACAATTAACCCACAATATCATGGCTGCAACAATACACAACTCACAATACCATGGCTGGAACAATATACAACTGATCAACAATACCATGGCTGGAACAATACACAACTGACCAACAATACCGTGGCTGGAACAATACACTACTAACCCACAATACCATGGCTGAAACACTACAAAACTCACAATACCGTGGCTGGAACAATACACAACTCACAATACCGTGGCTGGAACAATACACAACTAACCCTCACTTATCTGTAATACACTATTAAATTGAAGAAAACTAACAGAAATGATTCAACAGAAGCAACAGAAATTATTGAAGCAGACAACAGAAGTCGTCTTGTTCAGTCATGTCTAAAAATGGGTGTAAGATAAAGTGCTGGAGGAAAAGTAATCTTATTTTAATTGTACCGAGAGATGAAAATAGATAGCGATCCTGTTGGACGGCGCCTCTTGTGCGTCACAGTGTTGCTCTCAGGGGATTGGGTAATACGCTAGTGACGTCACAGCAACAGACACGGTGATTTGCTCCACTGGGAAGCGACGTCACAGCCACAAAGCTGGGGGATTGGTCGAGAGGTAAGACATGTTTTGTCAGGTGTGGGTTGCATGCTGGCGCTGCTTACTCCAGGCTGAGACTGACATGTGTTGTGTTTACCCTCCTGAACGACTCTCTTGAAATTTCTGAAGGTTATTCTTAGATTTCTTGAAGACGAGCGCTCACCACAGAGTTTATTCGAATGAACGGAACCCCTGGTGATATGCTCGGCGACATGCTCACCCCGAGGTCCTACTCCCTGAATAAGGTTTGAGTCCTTTGTGTTCCCCTGTATCCATAACAAGTTTCCGGTCTTTATATTGCCCCCTTCCCAAATTTTCACAGTCATGTTGATAAATTAGACACATGTGCAACACTTAGGTATCTTTACTGAGGAAACGTTTCGCCACACAGTGGCTTCATCAGTCCTATACAAAGAAGAATGGTGAAAATCAGAAGGAGTTTGAGGTAATCAGTCCCTCAGCCTGGAGTCGATTACATGAGTATAACTTATCAACTTGTCGGTTCTCTGAACCATTTATCTACATTTTCACAGCCAGGCATTTGCCGGGGTTAAACTCAAGCAGCCACTTACCTAAATCATCTGCAAACAGGTAAACACCTGACTCTTCTGACACATCATTCACATCTACTGACCACAAGACACATACTCCGGTCACTGCACAGGTTCTAACACATCAAATTTCATTAACTCAGTAACTTAGTAAATTTACACCTAGATGTGTGGGTTATCAGAGATTTAGGCCGTACAGAAGAGGCTTACCCTAATTGTCTCGCTGTAAACAAAATAATCCATACTATTTTTGCCAATAAAATTTGTAAATTTGCACTCACACACTGCTGCTACAGTGCCAACCTTCTTCTAGGTATGACGCATCATCCTTGAAAATTTGAAGCCAATCGGATGAAGCGTTCTCGAGGTAGAAACGAAAACTTGGGAGGGAGAGAAATCAGGCAACCAATAATAATAATAATAAGAAGAAGAAGAAGAAGAAGAAAAAGAAGAAGAAGAAGAAGAGGAAGAAAAAGAAGAAGAAGAGAAAAAGAAGAACCTGAAGATGAAAAAGATGAAGAAAAGATAAAAAAAGACGAAGAAAAAGATAATAATAATAATAATAATACTAATAATAATAATAATAATAATAATAATAAAGAGAGAGAATTTAAAACAATTGATTCGGAATAAAACTCCAGAAAAATTCTCATATACAATTTATGTCATTTTTTATCAATGTTGCTGAACTTTTGTTAAAAAATTCAAGTCATTTGTGATATTTTTTTTGTACTGCCATTTTATAATGCCATTGTTTGTAATGCCATTTTGTAATTCCATTGTCGGCGCCTTTTTTGTAATGCTATTTTTTAGTGCCATTTTTGTCGTGCCTTTTTTTGTAATTCCATTTTAATATCATTTTTATAATGCCATTTTATTGTCTTTTCTTGCAATGTCATTTTTGTTAAGCTATTTTTGTTATGTAATATTTAAAGCCATTTTTTGTAATGCCATTTTTGTAATGCCATTTTTTGTAATGCTGTTTTTGTAATGCCGTTTTTGTAATGCCGTTTTTGTAATGCTGTTTTTGTAATGCCGTTTTTGTAATGCCATTTTTGTAATGCTGTTTTTGTAATGCCATTTTTGTAATGCCATTTTTGTAATGCCATTTTTGTAATGCCATTTTTGTAATGCCATTTTTGTAATGCTGTTTTTGTAATGCTGTTTTTGTAATGCCATTTTTGTAATGCTGTTTTTGTAATGCCATTTTTGTAATGCCATTTTTGTAATGCTGTTTTTGTAATGCCATTTTTGTAATGCTGTTTTTGTAATGCTGTTTTTGTAATGCCATTTTTGTAATGCATTTTGTAATGCCATTTTTGTAATGCCATTTTGTAATGCCATTTTGTAATGCTGTTTTTGTAATGCTGTTTTTGTAATGCCATTTTGTAATGCTGTTTTTGTATGCATTTTTGTAATGCCATTTTTGTAATGCCATTTTTGCAATGCCATTTTTGTAATGCCATTTTTAATGCTGTTTTTGTAATCTTTTTGTAATGCCATTTTTGTAAAGCTGTTTTGTATGCCATTTTTGTAATGCCATTTTTGTAATGCTGTTTTTGTAATGCCATTTTTGTAATGCTGTTTTTGTAATGCTGTTTTTGTAATGCCATTTTTGTAATGCCATTTTTGTAATGCCATTTTTGTAATGGCATTTTTGTAATGCCATTTTTGTAATGCTGTTTTTGTAATGCTGTTTTTGTAATGCCATTTTTGTAATGCTGTTTTTGTAATGCCATTTTTGTAATGCCATTTTTGTAATGCCATTTTTGTAATGCCATTTTTGTAATTCCATTTTTGTAATGCTGTTTTTGTAATGCTGTTTTTGTAATGCCATTTTTGTAATGCTGTTTTTGTAATGCCATTTTTGTAATGCCATTTTTGTAATGCTGTTTTTGTAATGCCATTTTTGTAAGCTGTTTTTGTAATGCTGTTTTTGTAATGCCATTTTGTAATGCCATTTTGTATGCCATTTTTGTAATGCCATTTTTGTAATGCTGTTTTTGTAATGCTGTTTTTGTAATGCCATTTTTGTAATGCTGTTTTTGTAATGCCATTTTTGTAATGCCATTTTTGTAATGCTGTTTTTGTAATGCCATTTTTGTAATGCCATTTTTGTAATGTTGTTTTTGTAATGCCATTTTTTGTAATGCCATTTTTGTAATGCCATTTTTGTAATGCCATTTTTGTAATGCCATTTTTGTAATGCCATTTTTTGTAATGCCATTTTTTGTAATGCCATTTTTTGTAATGCCATTTTTGTGACATTTTTTTCTAATTCCTTTTCTTTGTAATGTCGTTTTTGTAAATACCTTTTTTTATATAATTTTCGTGAAGCCATTTTATAATTACCATTTTTTTTGTAATGCCATTTCGAGTCTTGACATTTTCTGATGATGATTTCGATCGAAGTTTTATGCAGAAGAAGGCAGACATGTCACAGCTTGTCGCTGTGTATAGAGCCTCGTCAAATTATGTTTCACTCTACGTAGAGCTTTATTAAGTCATGTTTCACTTTACGTAGAGCTTTATTATGTCATGTTTCACTCTACGTAGAGCATTATTATGTCATATTTCACTCTACGTAGAGCTTTATTATGTCATATTTCACTCTACGTAGAGCTTTATCAAGTCATGTTTCACTTTACGTAGAGCTTTATTATGTCATGTTTCACTCTCTAGGAGCTTTATCAAGTCATGTTTCACTTTACGTAGAGCTTTATTATGTCATGTTTCACTCTACGTAGAGCTTTATCAAGTCATGTTTCACTTTACGTAGAGCTTTATTATGTCATATTTCACTCTACGTAGAGCTTTATTATGTCATGTTTCACTCTACGTAGAGCTTTATCAAATCATGTTTCACTTTACGTAGAGTTTTATTATGTCATGTTTCACTTTACGTAGAGCTTTATCAAGTCATGTTTCACTCTACGTAGAGCTTTATTATGTCATGTTTCACTCTACGTAGAGCTTTATCAAGTCATGTTTCACTCTACGTAGAGCTTTATCAAGTCATGTTTCACTTTACGTAGAGCTTTGTCAAGTCATGTTTCACTCTACGTAGAGCTTTATCAAGTCATGTTTCACTTTACGTAGAACTTTATCAAGTCATGTTTCACTCTACGTAGAGCTTTATCAAGTCATGTTTCACTTTACGTAGAGCTTTATCAAGTCATGTTTCACTCTACGTAGAGCTTTATCAAGTCATGTTTCACTTTACGTAGAGCTTTGTCAAGTCATGTTTCACTCTACGTAGAGCTTTATCAAGTCAGTTTCACTTATGTAGAGCTTTGTCAAGTCATTTTCACTCTACGTAGAGCTTTATCAAGTCATGTTTCACACTTTACGTAGAACTTTTCAAGTCATGTTTCACTCTACGTAGAGCTTTATCAAGTCATGTTTCACTTTACGTAGAGCTTT